TAGCTCTATAGGTTATTCTTGTGACGGTTCTTACCGCCACCATGCCTCAAACCAGCCCCTGGCTGGCACCCGGCGTGCCCCGTGCTTCCCGAGCCCGGCTCGGTTAGCTATGGCTTGGCACACCTCCGGTATATAAGAGCTTCCAGCTCCTGTGCTTCTGTCCTTTCTTTCTCTTCTCTCTTCAGCTTAGAATCCTCGAATAGACAGTTCCACAGTGCCCAACTTACACCAGGCGTAGTCGTGCATTCGTGCGCGGTCCATCAGCTGTGCGTGTCGTCACAATTCTAGTAGTTAAATTTAGGATTAAGCTTATAAGGACCTAATATTAGTATAATATTATTCCTAGATTATAAGTAAGAGTTAGTAATCGCTAATTCTCTTCTTAAGTATATTTAAGTGTATTTTACCTCCCTCTTATCCTATATATATAACCTTATTATAGTCCTATATATATAGTATTTATTATTATACTATATTATAAAGTACTTAACTAGTTATTAGGATACTATTATTCTATTTAACCTATACTCTATATTATTAAAGTATAGAACAAAATATATAAAGGGTAGCTTTATAGTATTTAATATTAAAATTATTAGTACTCTATCTATAAAATTTACTTAAAGATATTCTATTAAGTTCTCTATCTTATAGCTTTCTATACTAATAGTAGTCTATAGCTATCTTAATTACCTAGTTATAAGTAGGGCTAATACTAGAGAAAGGATTATATAGAGCCTCCCTGTTATTATTATATTTATATAATAAGACTAAAGATACTCTAGATACTCTAGTAGAGGGTACTTTATTAAGATTATCGATTAATCTATTAAATTTAAAGGATTCTACTAAGGTGTCACGAATCACGTGTTAGCATGTGACGAGTGAAGACCAGGCGGCGTCCTGACAGGTTAAGCACTATCATGCTCTTAGCGAATAGGGATCGGCTATACTAGCTAAGCGATCCAAGGATTTCATTATAGTCACGTGACGGATCTTTGGATCTGGATGGATCTTGGGGATCCTAGGATCCAACCAGATCCATGAGCAAGAAGGTTCTATATAACACTGGCATGTCTGCCATTAGAGAGGAGCTTCGTGCTCAACTTAGTTATCAATCTTATCATATTAGTTTGACATCTTTGATACAAGTAACGAGTTCACTTCCAAGTGAACAACCCGATAGTCTTCTTCTTATCATAGCATACCAACCAGCGAACACCCAGCCAAGTTTAGTTAGCCAGTTTGAGTATTCGTTACATAAGGGTACTCTAGGTACCTTAATCTTATTACCCTTAAATTTATCCCTAGTCTTGATAGTACTTACTAGCTTAGTAATACTATTAATTTAGTCTCTTATACGTTCTTTAATATTACTAAGTTATTTAATATCCTTTATATTCTAATATCTCTAAGCGTTAAGATAGGCTTGTTATTCTATATCTGTATTTCCGCCTAAACTGTATTCTATTAGTAGATAGTTCTCTTTACCTTAAGGAGGTAGAAGACTATCTAGATCGCTAGTAGTAGTATCTATTATCTTTTAGAAAGATAATATAAGTACCCTACTATCTCTAGTATCTATAATATATTTTTAGAAGGTAGTTAAGGTAGTAAATAGTATTCTAGTGTTTTATAGTAGTAGAGTTATTAAGTGCTTTTAGCTTATTTATAGTATAAATAGCTTTATAAACAAAGTCTTAAAAGTATCGTAAGTCTCTGATCTATATATACATAATACTAATCAGTATTAGTTCGACTTTATTATTAAATATAAGGTGTAATATAGGAAGAGGCTAAACCTTAGTATTAGACTATTCCTATTATTAATATACACCGAGTCAAAGGTATAGAAGTCGTACTGCCATAATATAGGCAGGACCAGCCTAGTCAGGTGGTCCGTGCCACCGAGTATATTTAGTCGGATATTATAGCGACAGTTACTTTTCTTTTTTTTTTCTTGGGCGACGGGGGTGTACGACGACCGACGATGACCACAACCACGACTGTTGGGCATGCAGGTCGGTTTTGACATGGATCGTTACTTACACTGGCGTGAAACAGAATGAGGGTTCAAATGCGGTGGTGATGGGGAATTGGCAGGTTGAGGGCGAGTGCAGTGTGCACCTTGAGGGGGAAGGGTGTAGGGTTCTTTCCTTTTTCGCGTCTTGAGAGAGCGGAGCCAGAGGTGGCAGCCCGGTAAATGCAGGTGAGGAGAGGGTGAGGGAGTGGGAGCCAGGAGGGACTTAGAGAGACCTCGAGAGACCCGAGGGAGGTGGAGCTCAACTCAAACCACTGCAGGCCAAGGGCAGGTGTGCACTCAACTTGATTTCACGTCGAGAGGGAAGGGGCGACCTCGACGACGAGCTCGGCTTTTGCGACCAACGCCAACACGAACTTGTAGCTGAGTCCCGTCGACAGCAGTGCACCTCCACTGGCACTGACGACCTCGGGAGTTACTTCCATGGAATTGGAAGTTCTAAGCTCATGCTGTGAGGATAAGAACAACCTCAACAGCACCTACACAGCACTGCCTAAACTGGATTAGCGCCGAGTATAAACACCCCCCCTCGGATTCAAAGTTTCTGGTGTTGTCTCCACCTGCACCTGCTATCGTTTTCCAAGGGTCAAGCTTCAGCTTCCAAGCTTCTCAACCATATCGCGGAAAACCCTCCGCAGTTTGTATACGAGAGATCAAGCTCTGTCATGCCTTCGTTGACGGGACTCAATTCATCTCAACGCCATCCAGAATACGATGAGTTTATGGGAACCTCAGGCGCATACCTAGCATAGCAGCATAGCTGACTTTCTTTTTCTCCATCCTCATGGGTCACTGACTAGCCTTGTCCTTACAAAGTGTCAATAGTGCATTACAGAACGGGTACAGCAGTAATACCAGGTAGGTAAAGTAATATGGAGAAGCCGGGACAATAGCTTCCATGCGAACCCCCAGGGAATAAGATCGTCCGATGAGTTACTTACTTGATATATGTAAACGTACGGAGTCTTCTCCCGTTGCTCCCTTCCTGGTTCTTGCTTTTTCATTCGGCTTGATATAGATCTGCTTACCTGGGGGCATTCGGAGATCGGAAATCCTTACCGCTGCCGGAACTCCCAATCTTGGAGTGAAGGATGGGTATGGATGGTATGAGTATGGGGTTTAGTATGTGTATGGGTTCGTGTATGGACGACGAGACGACGAATGAGCTCCTCTACTACATACCTACCATGTCCCAGGAATATTTATCACACTCCCTGTTTCCATCCAAGAATGCACAGCTACCTAGCTGCCAGCTTTCTCACCTTCCTGACGTGAGGGGAAGTCTTACTTGGCCTTGGGAGGAGAACACTCATGCAAATGCGTTTCGTCGTCGAGTCCCTCGGGGACAAGGAAAAGCAAATATTGGCTGGAGGGTGGCGCGGGTGAGGTCCCCGGTGTGGAGTGCTAACTGTCGCCTTGTGGAGGTCATTGGATGACAGGGTGGGATGTCGGGAAATGAGGAGTAGATCTTTGACGTGCGTGGGATTGGGGGGGGGAGGGAGGCATGTCTGAGCGGATGTGGTGGAGATCTGTATCTGTAGATGCGAGTAGGGATGGATGTGATGGCGGGTGAGAGACGATTGTGCAANGGGATTGGGGGGGGGAGGGAGGCATGTCTGAGCGGATGTGGTGGAGATCTGTATCTGTAGATGCGAGTAGGGATGGATGTGATGGCGGGTGAGAGACGATTGTGCAAGTATAAACGAGTCTTGGAATATTGTCTGAGAGACTGACGTTGATCTGGGCGACCGGAAATCATTTCTACATGGCATGTTTGAACTTGTAGATCTGGTCTGATCTAAAGATGCGATGATAGGATAAAACGACGTGTTCGAGCTCTGCAGTAGGCAAGAGTACGTGGCTGGCGGATTCAAGTGATGAGTTGACCGTTGTTGGTCTTGATCTGCCTGTGAACTCCATGTCTTACTTCTGAACCGTTTTGGGGACCGCTAACTACCTATGTTTCCTTGTGTGTGCGTCGATCCGATCGGAATCGAAGTTGTGATGATGGCTAAGGCAATGTACGAAAAGAGACAAGACAGAGCGTAGGTCTGTACAAACGGCCTGGAAGTGAACTTCAGACTGCCGGATTCTGCCTCCAGAGCCCCGAAATTAAGGCTCATGTATGTAAAAAAGGCTCAAGTTTTGCATCTCATCTACGGCACGTGTAATCTCACCTTTCAGATTGTCGCGTGCGAATACCCGCTACTTGGGATGGCATGAAACGAAAAGTTCGCCTTGATTAGTCGTTTGACCATTCGCTGTGGCTGCGGGAAAACGTCTGATGAATGGCAAAGCGTTTTGCGTACTCGTAGTGTGAAACTTAACGGCAGACTATAAATACATTGGTTTTTGGCTCTGCTCGAGCCCTTCAAGTTAAGTCGGTGTTTTGAGCTGTGATGTTTTGAAGTTGAGATGATTTCGGCTATAGATTTTAGGGGGTCCAAGTACAATACGAGTACCAGCGGGGAAAAGCTCATCCTAACGACATTCCATGAATAGCTACACTAGCTGATAGAAAGACGAGTGCAGCAGAAACGTACCGAGAATGGAATCGCCCGCGTTGAAAAGAAGCATGTATAGTAAATTCAGAATTTACGTTCTCTTCTAGAACCACTCAAAGATATGGCATAATCCTATGAGTTGAGCTTCATGATTGCCATAAAAAGGATGTGAGATTGAGCAACGATATATATAATCATTCGTCGTTATCGGGTATCTACTGGATAAAGTAAAAAGACTATACATATACCGAACAAATAGATTCGTGCCCAAAAGATATCGACATGGACTCATGATAAAGAGCGAAACATATGCGCCTTTTCCACCCCCCTCCCCAAGTAATAATAATGTGAATTTATGGAACAAGAACAGAGACCACCCCCCCTATTTTAAAATGTATTTTGTTTAAACTCCCGGCAGACAAAGCAACAAAAGAAGAAAGAAAAAACAGGCTCATTCACTCTTCACTCAGTAGTGACGAGAGATGCATCCTTGAATCGCGCCCCGCTTCCGGTTTTGGGTGAGGCTTTGAACCCATTTGTAGAGGTGGGAGTTGAAGCGGAGTTGATGGAGCAGTCATGGAATGTTGCTGGTAGTCGTGTTGAAACTCTCTTGGTGGAAAGTTATTCGACACACTGGACTGCCGATAGGCAGATGGAGAATAGTTGGGCGAATAAAGTTTTGACTCTCCATAAAATCGAGGGGTGTATGGTGTTTGCTGATGATCAGAGTCACTTCGAAATGCGTTTGCGGGAAAGTGAAGCATAGGAAGACTTGGTCTCCTGCTGTCAAATCTAGCTGTGTAAGATTGCAGTGGAGGAAGCTCAAGTCTGGGTGATGTAGCGAGGCGAGGCGAAACTGAGAAGGTTGAACCACAGTCCGATACTAGAGATGGTGGATCATCCATGGACTCAGTTCCAGATGCCTCAGACTCCGCTGGAGACGGTAATGCTCTGTCACCTCGTCGAGGAGAATAAGCCGAAGACGTGATAGTAAGTGCGCGATTGGCGACTGGTCTGGCAAAAGAAAGAGGTTGTCCTTGTTCGTCAAAAGAACTGGTGCATGGACCAGATGGTCTGCGACGAAGGACGAGTCGCCTTCTTCGATTCATGCTTCCATTCCACCAGTTCTTCACAGCGTTGTCGCTACGGCCATGAAGTCGTCGAGCAATCTCTGCCCATCGCTTGCCCATCTCGCCTACCAGTCGTTCAATCTGAAGTCCTTCCTCTGGACTAATTGGGTCGTGATTGAGGGATGGTTTTAAATTTTGATGATACCGTTCTCGACACTGCTTTGGTGATCTTGATCCGATGAGTTGGGCAATTCGGACCCAGTTCAGTGCTCCCTGTGTGTGAACTAGCTGTACGAGGTAGTTGTCCTCTGCTTGAGACCATGGTCCTCTTCGGTGCGATGACATTCTGATAGCGATGAGAGTGTTTTTTCAATCTCGGATGAATTCGTGATCAGTTGAAATAGGATCCGTTGGTCCTTGTGACCTAATTCTACCGCTAGACGTGACTCTTAAATAGTGGCCGTTTAGAGGTGACTATCAGATAGTGTGAGACTTCAAGACTGTAGTGAGGTGTTGGTAACGGCTCGACGTAAGCTGACTGGAGACCGTGGTATCGTTGGATCGCTGACTAGATTGGGTTTGACTGGCTTTGAAGACGGGGTGTTTTTAATGACGGCCTTGTGTAATAGTCTCCAGGAAAGGAGAATGTGATGTCGAAATTCGATGATTCAACGACGTATTGAGAGGGAGCCTTCTGTGGGATCAACGATATTTCAAAGTATCACGATATGTATGAGGTATAGGAAGGGTCTGGTATTTAAGAAGTGAGATTGATGACTGTAGCTGCAAAAGTGGATGGTATATACAGCAACGAAAAGATGAAGGTCCTGAGCAAGATGGAGAGGAGAACATCGGACGCTGGTAAGACCATATATTAGACTAAGGGACGGTGGTGGGCACGGCTCGTTGCGAGACGGCTGAGGAAGGTGGACCAATGGTGCCGGTGCCGTGGGGGAGGTGAACAGCGCGCACGCCAACTGCAACGATCAGGCCTCCTAATCCCTAGCGATGATCTAGGGAGGGGGGGAAGAGGGGAGGGGCTTCCCTTGAAGCGCATCAACTAGTCAACTACTGGGTCTCGGGAGACAAGCAGGGGAGATGTGCCACCTGGATATTGAAAATGACGATCGAGAGCCGGCACGGGTTGCGTGAAGAGAGAGTAGGGTCCAGCAGGGGTATAGAGATATTGCTTTGTCAGGGAGAGCCTGAGAGGGCGAGGGCGTGGGAGAGGGAGAAAAGGGAGGGTACTCGTGGATGATGAGGCTGGTCCAAGGAGGCACAGGCCGTCGTCCTTTGCTCATTAAGCTTATGCTTGCTTGCTTGCCCGCTTGTTGGTGGGGGAAGCTGTACTATAGCTGTAGCTGTAGCTGTTTCTTTGGGCTTGGAACTTGGGACTGGGACTGGGACTGGGACTTGGAGCCAAATCGGGCTGGAGACCGAGAATGAGATCGTGGGTTGTACGATTGATGGGTGTCGGGCCCACTGGGCGCCCCTTTCATGCGTGCAAGAGAGAGACTGGTAGTCACGGTACAAAAGTCGCAGATGAGCATGAGGTAGGAATAGGAGAGATATCGTAACACCAGAGCCTCCCATCAGTGCCATCTCCCATCTCCCATCTCCCATCACCCCTCATCCCCGTCCTGGTCCATGCCTCTCGACATTTTTTTGGCGGCTGGAGCAGCACACTGATGCTCACTCCAGGATCCCAGGACGGTCGAAGGAGAGCACAGAACTGGCCGGGCTTGGATCCGATGCAGGGTAGCCCAAGGTGGTGGTGGCCATGTCGAAGTCTTGTTGCTGGCGTCGATGATGGGGGGTCTTTAGGGAGAGTCTAGAGCTTTAGGCCACGACTGGTCGTCTGGTGCTGTACTGTACTTGTCTGATGGTGCTTCGAAACAGGAACCGGTGCAGATACATCGCCCTAAGGCGCGATCGAGGAGTGGTTATTTTAGTCTAGTGCGGTTTGACTGCACTGCTTCTTTTCATGTGGTTTGTAGTTTTTGGTTTTTGGAAGGCGGAGTACCGTCTCGGGGTGGAGTCTGTCGATTGCGATGGAAGGTTGGATGAGCAGCAGCGCAGCAACCCAACGTTCGAGGGGCGAGGGGGGAAGGGGGGATCACGGGCTCGCTCGCTTCACAACCAAATCCACTGTTCATGAGCCTTCTCAGTAAGTGACGAGCTACTTCGACGTGCGAGACACAACCCTCGCACTGAGCAGACATTGATCCCAACCCCTTTTCTCCATCCCCTCCCCCGTCCCAGCAATGGGTACTGGTACCGATACTGGTACGGGTACTCAGTACGGGCACTGTAATGAGACAGTCCCTAAAGAAGAAATCCAGCCCTCTGCAGACATGGTACGCCCTGTGGCACCCTCGCCCTCACCCGGTTGATCCTCACGGGAGGCGTTGACAAAAACCACTCAGCTGGGACCCGACTCGAATGGGGCTGAGGCAGAAGGCGTCACTATTGTACACGACCAGTCACTACCAGTCACTACCAGTTACTACGAGTACTCCGTCACGACACTACCGCCCCAACAACTGCTAGACTTGATGACGGCGGCATGCTAAAGCCAACGCTTGACGTTGCGCTGTCCTAACACGGCCATAGTCTTGGCCCCAATATTCTAACCATAATATATTAAAACAATAAAACGCTGCGTTGCGCTGCGCTGCGTCGTCGTCGTCGTCGTGTCGTTTCTTGCCCCGTTGAGACCACAGAGAAACTAGCGAGAAGAGCGCCGGTATCTGACACAGCAGCCAGGAAAGACCCCGGAGAAAGCACGTAGGGAGACCGCCAACCAAAAACATGACAGAAACAACGTAGCAGACCCTTTTCTAGATCCTTAATTGCTGTCCCAAAAACATTCCAAAAAAATCCTGCGGCTCTGGACCGAATCTGGTGTTTCTGTTGAGATGGATGCAGAACCCAATGGCAGATGCGGTTGAGATACGCTCCGGAGAAGCCCTCGCTTCCAAATTCTCCCCATGGCCAACGGCCTCTCGGAGCACGATCCAAGGTTGGAAAGGAGCTCCGTGGTCCAGCTCCTCGGTGCCTTCATCCACGTGCGATCAACGACGTCGACATGCACGTTCCACACCCGCAGAAGCTGCTTAATATCCATCCTCAAAGCTTCTTTAAAGCTACAATACTTTAAAGTTACTTCACCGTCTGAAGACGATGCCACTTGCCTGGGAGTTTGGGAATTCCCATTACCCGCCGGCAGCGCCATCGAGTCTATAATGGACTTGAGCGGCCATGGACGATATAGGAGCAGATATGGAACAAGTAGCATCGTAATTGGGCATTGTTATGACCACTGGGATATGGAACAAGGTTGTAAGCTGCGACCCTGGATGGAACAGCAATGGTTCTTTCGAGGTCCAGAGGAAGAGGAAAATGGCGACGCCAAAACCGCCTGAAAAGGAGATGCGGATGCTTACCGGGGAGGGGTCTGGCTCTCTTTCTGCGCCACAGAAGGGTTTTGCTCGTTTTGCTCGTTGGGAGCAAATAAGGCCTAGAGCCAGGAGATTGCCGGGACGATGAAAGCAGAGCTACCCCCCCTGGCCCCCTACTGGTACCATCCAAACCCCTACAAAAAGCTCCCCAGGACGACGTGAATTTTGCACTCATCTCCAGCAGGCGCTGGACCGTTCAGGTTTCGTCCCAGCATGACATCTCCAGCTCCATTTCCCCAGCGGCTTCCAGCAGATCCGCTCGGGGCTGCTTCCCAAAGAGTATGGCGATCCGTCGCCCGACCAATATCTTGGGAAACTGGGCGCATTGTCAAGGACTGCCATCCCGGGAAATATTTACCATCTTTCTACCAGAAATAAGCTTTGAGCAATCGTTTTCTATTTTCGTATTCCAAGACATGACAAGCAAATCAACTTCTTTCAGTTGCGCGAGGAAAAATAAAGCTTCCTTCATTCTTGGCCATATTCTGCAAAACAATGCCATGGTGAAGCAACCCTAGGCTGGCTGAGCTTGCCTGGTAGTTACGAAGTTGTTTCCAAAGCTTTGAGCAGTCAGTATCTCCCTCAATATGGCAAGATCCCACTTGAGATCTGCATTGTCCATGGTTGGCATCTTGCCAAATCAAGATGCCAAATCTACTAGCGCAGATCATGAAAGTCTGAATTGATGCGTCAACCTTGCAACCATACTCAGTGCTCGTTATAGTATAGCTGCCATAACGACAACACGTACAGAACACGTGAATCTTCAGAACCTTCATCTTTTGTGATGTTCCGCACTTGGCGTTCCCCTATTTCCATCTTCGCCTGTCATGAAGAGGTGCCGATGAATGATCAGACCTACTTCCCGCGAGTTGATCTTTCAAGGCACCCAAACCCAACGCTAACCATACAGTACTGCATCTTTGCCGCTGACTCCAGAGAGGTGGCGTTTACTGTTCATGCCCATTTTGGCGCAGTCTCTGTATATCGGCCAGTGGAGATGTGCAGATTCCCCTGCATTGGCTCTGAAATTGCCGAATGTGGTCTGCTTTCGTTGAAACTTGATTCAACATGGCTAACTTTATGTTAAAACCATCCCAAGAATCACCATGCGAAATGTAAATTTATTTCTGGACACGGCTTGCCGAGAGACTTCTCGTTTTGTGTTTCTTCAGCTGTCTCTCGCCTCCGGCTGTGCGCACAGAGGATGGGGTGGTAGGACGGTGTTCGTGGTACTTGGTGATAAGGTCTTGCAAAGAGCTTAAGTGGCTCAAGCCGAAGGGTTGGGTTGGGAAAGATTGAGTAAGGATGACAGGGATATCCACGCACATGCAGTCCCACTCAGATATCGTGCGCGGATAGACCCACTCCCAAGAAGCATGGGGCAAGTCGCCGACCTGGTGCATCGTCACACTGCTGAGAGGATCCTCGGATCGTCGTGGGCATTGGTCGTGAGTTGCTGGAACGTGCAAAGTGGAGGTGGCACTTATTGAGGATAGGACGTCGATGAGGTGAACAAATCAGTTGCTCCTCCATCGTGAAACGACTGTCCGCTTTTCATCCGATTCTCTAACCCGCTCTGCATTGGAATAACACACTGGAACCACGAGGGTTGAGTGATTTCACAAGCATGTCAAGCCAAGTCTCCTGGAGCCCTCTGAGTGTCCAAAGTTATCCAGAATAGCAACAAGGACACGGCATCTAGTACCACTAGTCCTCCCTTGGGTCTTGGGGGTAATGTGAAATACACTTCCGAGTTCCTTCATCACATCACAGACTGGAGGCCAGAACATGAGGTCGCCCGTCTAGTCAGCATATCTGATCGAAGTGAGGAAAAGGACGGCATTCGCCGGGAGAGATGTATAGGCTTTCCCAACGGTGACGTCCGCTGCGTTATTGAAATACTTGTTTCTGGTTGTTCCAAACGGCGGTACAAGAAACCGTTGAAGGGTCGGATCAGAGTCAACGCGATGGTCACGCAGGGTGTCTGATGATTGACGATATCCCACGGTTCAGAGCCACGCACTTTGGAATGGCTTGCACAAGAGTCGGGCCCTCGCAGATGAACCGACTTGTCCTTCCAATCAAGAAGAGAAGTTCCGTTGATGATAGCGGCGACCAACATTCAATTTCAAGGCGGAATGATCTTGACCGTTGGACGAAAAATGGCATTTTTTGGATAGCATGTTCGTCCCACAGTGGCTCATTGGTGGTACACTGATCCGCCGGTACCACCAAGGCTCAATAAGTTACTTGTTGAACCATCACTTTTTTTGAGCGTTTGTATTATCACAGAGCGGCAGCAGTTTTGTTTTGACCGCCACCACCTCTCCATTGACACGATGGGAATCTTCCAGATACAGTACTGAAAGCTATTTGATACGTCCATCAACGCAATGGCATATTCCGATATAGTTGCGATCCAGAACTCATGGAGAATCAGCGACCGAAACAGCAATTCTATGACTCATTTTTCGAGGCAGAATCAATGGTGGTGCTAAGCGATGAAAGGATTGAAGCGAGAGGGAAAACGAGAAATCACCTGCTTCCACAAATGCTTCCAGCTGCCTGCTTCGTTGAAACCTTTGGGGGTCCCACACAGTCGCCCCTTGGGGCTTGCAGGCGCTGCAGATTCTCAACTAGAGTGTGGAGAAAAAAATTCCATTTCCATCGAAACAGCAAAGAAAAACATTTGCAGGCTGCGAGGACAAGGCTTACTAAGCCCAAGTGTGCACATTCCCTCCTTTCCATTCCCAAAATCGGAACACAGCAGCCGACATTTTGAAATGTAATGGACTCCTTTATAAATCAATGAGGGTCTCCTCACTTCTGATGAGGTAAGATTCTCGAGACATTTGCTGTTCCTTCACACTTTGGCAACCCTAATCTATGTTGAATCTGAACTCCCACGCGCCTACCCTGTCCTGACTTTTCCCTGCTTTCGTTGGGCGGCTCCTTAGGATCCGATAACTGATGGCCCTTGTCATGTAGATCATGAGCAGGGTAGCTTCATCCTAGCCATACGCTCCGTACAGCCGCCGCTCGGAGAGAATGCATGTAGGTTATTCTTAGACATCAGCGGGATATGAAATTGATGAGAGTTGGTCGAATGTGTTGGCTCAAGAGACTTCAAGAGTTCTGATTGGCAAGACTTTGTACATCACAATTCCGTAATATTGAATCAAAATTTAGTGGAAAATTGGTGAGGATGTGAGATGGATCATGGGCTGGCCTTTTCTCTTGAAAAAGTGTGGTGAATCAACGCAGGGAAATAGTTGGCTCAAGGTCCTTTAGCCGTGGGGTTGTCGGAGAACGAAGCAGCATAGATCTTGGGAAACACCTGAGACTATTCGCTGTTTGTGCCACCGTTGCCGAGTGCAACGCAACCTTTGCACCTGCAGGTGGTGTGCAGATACCATATGCATTTCGACAAATAGATGGGATAATGATGACCACAGTGCGGGGACACCGTTAGAAGGGACGTGTGTTTGAGAAATGGTGGTGTTTGGTTTGGAAGGCCGAGTGGCTGGCTGATGATTGGTATTGACAAGGTAGAGAGTGCGAGAAGCGAGCCTCTATTAATAGCTCTCGAGGGATGTAGTGAGACACTCGCGCAAAAACTTTTCTGTTTCGGTGCTCTGCATGAAGATATACCTCTCAGCAAAGTGGAAGAAGCGGACAGGCGTTTCGTGGGAGTTGGGAGCTGGAAGGTGGAAGATGGAAGTTTTTGGTGCTGTTCGCAGGAGGTAGTTGAGCGTGTTAGGTAAGCAGGTGCAAGGTGGTGGGGTCCCAATACACTGACGCCCCGGCGTCAGTTTAGAGCTGACTAAGCGCGGGTTTTCACGCCCCCCCACCACCGAAAT